AGTCGGGCGCGTAAGCTCCATGCGCAACACACCGTTATACAACTCGAAGCGATCGTCCAGCAAGGCTCGTCCTTCGCTCAGCATCATGATGTTGCCTTGCTTGATATACGTGTTCAGGAAGTCGGCTTCGAGGATTTCGGAGAGTGACATGTGGACGCGCGCGTATTGGGTGCGGGCGGGGCTGCCGTTGCGGGTCATCTCGGTCTGTATAAAGTGGTACATTTCCTCGGGCAGGATGAGGTCGACCGTGTGGCTGTATTTTTGCGACGCGAAGGCGGAAAAGGGCTTCTTTTTTGTTGACACATTTTGCGGGTCGATGTAGCTGGGGAGGAGGCTGTGGGAGAAGAAGATTTTCGTGTCGGGGGCCGAGGAGGGGCGGTGGATGTCGAGCATCGTGAGGTAGTATGAGGGAAGCGCGCGCGCAAGAGTGGGTGTGAAGGAGTAATGGTGGTGTGGTGGTGGTGGAGCTGCGCGAAAGGTGCGGGCCGAACTTTTGTCGCGTGGGGTTTCGGCAAGACGCGTTGCGCGGGCCTATGACGCATGGGCTGGCGCGTTGACATGTGAGCGGCCATTTGTAGTCTCGCGGACATCATTTTTTAATCTTGAGTATATTTGCGTCACTATGCGTCTCTGATCTAATTAGACTACATCCGTGACTGATGTGTACGGGCAAGTTTTGCGCATGAGCATGAACAGGCACCTACGCACGAGAGCGCATATGATGTAGGCATTGAAATACATTTGCACCACGATAAGGTCGAGCAAGTCATGTTAGGGAACAAAAATAGTTGTCAATGTATTCGAAGCGAGGCGTACATTAGTAGGATACTGACACGAAGCGCAAGGAATAGCCATTCCGAAAATATATGCAACCTTGACACAGTAGTCTGTTACAAAAGAACCCAGTGTACATGACCCATTGATGTATTGTGGAGGGCCCATAAGAAACCGGTAGATGATAGATCTACAACGTGCGTGTTGGGGACAAAAGGTGTACTGACCCCACCGTGTTCTCGGGGTCTGGAAGGCGGAAGGAAATCTGGGTGTATGGTGCATGAGATATGCTAGAAGGAAATGTGATATGTGTGCGTAAGGAGAAGTACGTTTTCAGCAAACGCGTTTACTATTGTTGCAGTAGGAGAAGGGTATTGATAGAGGTATGCGTCCGAGATATTATCGTCTATTCATGAAGATCGTGTTGAACGTCTCGTAGACCGCGTCTTCGCAATCAAGCGGACAGCAGCTTTCTGAACCGGTCGCGGCTTGCCGATATGATGCCCCGGTCTGAATCTGGTGATAGCGCAGATAGAGCACGGTTTGCCGAATTGCTCCTTACGGGCATTGTGGAATTCTCGAGTACGGTAGAGTTGTAGGGCCAGCGCTTCCACGTCAACGCGCAAGACCCATACTGAGCCGGGATTGCCTCTGATGTGGTGGGAGGCGAGAACAGTGGCGGCGGAGATGTGGTATTGCATCTGCACTTCATCGACTGTCTATGGGTCTTTGTCAGCTCATGCGGCGTAAGAGGGGAAAGATTACTGGGATGAACGCACCAAGGTCTGACGGTAGAAGCACCCTTCACAAGCCGTAATGATACGTTTGACAAGTGGAAAAGGATAGGTGTCTAATGCCGCAAAACAATAGATGCACCTCCGTGGGGCGTGTTGCAGCCATAGTCGACGATATACAATATGACTCATATCTGGATGGACGGCACCGTACCTGTCCAGCTGGGCGAATGGCAGATTGAATATGTTGCATTGTCGAACGAGATGCGAGCAGTACCCCTCCACGAACTCATTACATCGTCTGGACGTGCGCGACAGGGCATTGAAAGGATGTGGAAGTACATGAAGAGAGAAGATATCGGCAGCCCAGCGATGACTGTCTGCACCTTGGGTCAAGTCTTCTTCGTCCTTGATGCTCCGCTTCTGCTTCTCCGACACGTCGTATCTACTCTGAGTCTCAGTGAGACCCGGCAGCCGAGAGCACGGGTGAATGAGGTAGGACAGTATCTGGTCCACGATCTCGACAGGCAGCGTTTCCAACTTGCTCAACCTGACGTGGGAAGGTGAAGGTATGACGTTGTTATACTGCAGTGGATTGGGCAATGCGACTGCCCCGCGGTGACAAATTTTAGGCGAGGCTGGAATTGGACGTGGTGGTACAAGATCCTCGTGACCGTCAACCAGCAACCGTCCAGTAGTAGGAAGCGAAGAAGGGACCAGCCCCGAGGCGACGGTAGTCATTGAGGCCATGAAGAGGAGGGGAAAAGAGCGACAGAATGGAAACGAGCAGACTCTTCACCTTGGTTATAGAACAGGCCGTGAACCTTATACAGGACAAAGGTCAAAAAGTGACGAGTAGAAGCATGCAGGACAGCGGAGCTTCCCACCAACGAGGGGAGAAGTGTGCAGAAAGCTGCATTGCTGCTGCTGTGATTCGTCTAGTTGTCGAGAATCCCGGACAGCTGTGTAGCAGTGTGCAGCCCATGCACATATTTTCGATACTGCATACTGATATATGCTGAGATTGGCGAAGAAGAAGACGACAAGTCGTAGTGCATGTGCACCCAAGTAGTCCGGGTGGATAGCAGACTAGCAAACCGATGCGGCCATCTCCGCCCGGCCCCTTATCGCCTAGCGTCATGTATCATCAACTTACCCGACGGACCACCTTTCGCTCTGTCTGAGACTCGTAACACTGGCCGACAGCGAGAAGCGCGGGAGACAACACCATGGCTGCCCATCCCGACGAGGGACCCGCCGTCGCCCAGCACCCCGCTCCGCCCCCCGCTGGCGCTATCAAGGCTGACCCAGGAGCGGGAGGCGCAACCAAGCCCCGGAACGAGGACGCGCCCGCGCCTGCGGCCGATCAGGACGAAGAGGATGGCGGCGCGTGGGACCAGGCCTCCCTGTACGAGGAGATTCTAGACGAAGTGGAAGCCTTTGAGTACTCGGACGATGGTGAGTCTGGCCAGCATGCGCCTTTCACGTCCACCACCGTTGACACCCCATAGGCGTAGACACGTGCACCGCCGACGAGGCCCGCCGCCTGCGCCAGCGGCTCCATGAGATTGGCGCGAGCGCATTCGTCATGGAGAATATCACGAGCGAGAAGATGACGGCGCGCAAGCTGTGCACTGCCTTTGGCGTCAAGATCCCCAAGTTTCTCGAAGAGGCGCCCGACGAGAGCTTCTACCAGCTGCTGGGGCTGGCCATCAACCGCGAACTGAACAAGCGGCCGCGGCTGGCGCAGTACAAGACCATCGACGACGCTGCGAAACTGCTGCGCGAACGCAAGAACATCATGGTCATCACGGGCGCCGGCATATCGACCAGTCTTGGCATACCCGACTTCCGCTCCAAGAACACGGGCTTCTACTCGCGGCTGCGCGAGATGGGCTACGACGAGCCCGAGGAGGTCTTTGACATCCACAACTTCGACGAGAACCCCCGCACCTTCTACGCGCTCGCCGGCGACATCATACCCGATCTCGAAAAGTGGACGCCCACGCACGAGTTCATCCGCCTGCTGCAGGACAAGGAGAAGCTGCTCACCAACTACACACAGAACATTGACAATGTGGAGGCGCACGCGGGCATACGCAAGGAGAAGCTCATCCAGTGCCACGGCTCCTGGGCGACGGCAACATGTCGGAAGTGCAAGTTCAAGGTCCCTGGCGAGGACATCTTCGACTGTGTGCGCGCGCAAAAGCCCGCCGAGTGCAGACGCTGCAAAGACGAAATCGCCGCCCAGCCCAGCAAGAAGCGCAAGCGAACCTCGAACGGCAACGGCGCACGCAAGAAGCGCTCGAGCGACGAAGACTCAGAGTCCGACGGCGCCTTCGACATCCCGCAGCCCGGCATCATGAAACCCGACATCACCTTCTTCGGCGAAGCCCTGCCCAATGATTTCTTCGACCGCCTCAAGGACGTCGACAAAGACAAGGTCGACCTCGTCATCGTCATGGGCACCTCCATGAAAGTCGCGCCCGTATCCGAAATCCCGAACTTCCTCCCCCGCGACATACCGCAGATCTACATCTCGCGCGATCCCATCCACCACATCAATTTCGACATCAACCTCCTCGGCGACTGCGACGTCGTGGTTGCGGAGTTGGCGCGCAGGGCGGGCTGGACGCTGGAACACAAGATGATACCCGAGGGGCAGACGACAGAGGTGGAATTGACGGATGAGGTGGATCATATTTCTACGGTCAAGGTTCATGTTCCTGTTATGACTACTACGAATGGTCATATCAATGAGCAGGCTTGATCGGGATGACATGGCGTTTAAGCATATATACATATCGATGGCGTTGTGAGGGTATTCACGAAGGTGTTTATATGGATATCGGTTTCGGCCGCATGGACGGCGACCCCGTAGGATGGGCTCAAGATTCACAATATGGAGTTTCTCATAGGCTTAGGGCGTTTGTGGTATGGATACGAGAGGAGAGGGATGAAGTGGCGGCATCAGAGATACCATGGACAGGCTATAACAGTGGGGGAAGCCTAAGCCGCAGTCTCCTTGTGTTCATTTAGTTTCCTTGTCGTTCTTGCATATAGACTTCCTGAACGAAATTCAAGTTCAATTGCAATAACATGTAAATGCACTGTCGCAACATCACTCATCGTAGCACAGCTAGTGGACGAACGACAATCGATATGGGTAGTTCTGGAAGACGCGTGCTTCTCGGGTCGTGCCTGCCGTACGGCGCGGGCAGCGTACTAGCTTTCCCGCCTCCCCTTACTGAACGTGTTCAGGGCCTTCATCGCACCTGACAACCTCACATCACCTCAAAAATCTTAGCACTCTCACAATAACGTCGCAGCATCAGATTTTTCGGGTTCAACAACATCGTCACGTCATAGCGCACGCGCTGCTCCCCTTCCCGTCATCGGACCCGCTCCTGCCCACGCAAACCTACAAACGACCGCGGACTCCTCCACCACACGATTACGGCGATGAGGCGACATGAAGTGCAGTTGGAACAACTACGTCGGCAACAATGCTGGTGGATTCTGTGCAGCAACGTCGTATTGCTTTATGCTGTAGAACAAGGCGATGGCAGCAACGATCAGGCCTAGAAGACGTTAGCCACGGACCACTGGACACACCCATATCGTAGGCATGGCTTCTGGAGACACATACTGAAGAATCCAATCAGGGCAGTCAAGAACAGTCCTACGATAGCTACCGTCAGGGCACTTCTTTCCGATGTGTGTCTCTCGACCCATGCGACGATGCCGTTTGCTGCTGGCGGGTTGTCTACTACCTTCAACAACGTTGCGAGGCGATTGCCCAGATACTTGTATTCAAAGTCTTCGGGCAACGCACGGATATGTCTCTGGAAGTACTTAGCCTGCGGGTCGAAATTGTACTTGCTAATGAATTTCTCGAGCGACTTGTACGATCGCTCATCATTCGGGAAAAGAAGATACTGTATAGAGTCGAGGACCTCCAGCAGGAGCTGTGGTGGGAATGTCCCCCTGGATGATATGAGCTGGGCGGAACATGACGCGCGTACCGGGATTGAAGTACTTCTCTAAACTTTCCGCAAATCCTGTGTCAATGTCCTCGTTCCGCGAGCGACGAAGGTGTGCTTTTAACCAGCTAACCTGTCGGAAGACATGGATGACACCTCCGTCTGGATCAAACACCAAGTGTTCGGCCAAGTTGTCGGTCGGTCGTAGCCTTAATTTGTGCCACTCTTTCAGTTTCCAAGCCTTCAGCCTGCCTCGCTGTGCCAATGGGCTCTCCGATTCTTGGCGATCTTTCTGGCTCTGGGCGGGCGAAGGAAAGCAGCGCTCAACAAAGTTGGCAAATGACTGCTTCTCGCCCCATGTCCGAGGCACGAAGTCGCCCACCTTGCGACCTTCTGGTAAGTGTTGCTTCAAGGCGCAGTCGATCATTAATGACGCCTGTAGCAAAGCTCGTATTCCGTGCTCCCGCACATTGGTGGCAATGTCCGTGGCGTAAAGGCAGCTGAAGTCTGCCTTGGTTTGCGACGTATTTCCAATCAGGTAGTCAAAGAACCGGACCACTTCTGCGTGACTCGAATACGCTGGCTTCGCAACATTTACCACGTAACTGCCGGATGGTCCTCTGATCAGCGACTCGTAGTAATTGAAAAATACAGCGGGGGTTCCCGGTTTGCTCGCAGCCTCGTTGTCCATAAACTTGTCCACAATGTCCTGTTTCTCGGCTGGCGTTGGCGGTTCCATACTGAACAGGTATGCCACTGCGAAATCAAGTTGCAGTCATCCATCTTATACCGCCCACGCTCGCAGCCTGAGGTTCTTCTGCCAGCCACCTCATTGTGCGTCTGAATGCTCGGCCACCAGTTGCGGCTGTGTTCATATGCGCCCTCTTCAGCTCATGCATGACCCCTCCAGGGCTGTGATCCCCCAACGTCATCGGTATGGAGCAGGCCACCCGGCACACTTGATTGGGGCGAGAAGCTGCACTGTCCTACATCCACCCCTCTTCTGCTTGCATTCGCTGATATCGCTTTCTCCGAACCCGCTCAAATTTCGTAGCTTCCTCATTTCCCTTCTATCCGTACTTCGTGATACTTCCTGCGTTAAACCACATGTGACGTCTTCAAATCATACAAGGCAAGGGAACAGGCATCGGCTGCCTCCTTACACTGTGGCTCTTATACACGCGAGAATGGCTGGATCAACCCCATCCACACCAGGCTCAGCTTCCACAACATCCACGTCGGGTTCTGAGCAGGATGGGAAGCCTCGGTAATTGCTTTCATAGACTAACGAAGGCTTCACTGACGAGACAAGGACCACCTTACCGGACACTACAATCACGTTGGATACGCGAACTACTCCTATACCGGATATGAGTCGAGCTCCGTATACAACTGAATCTCGAGCTGTTCCCTCACCTGCAGTCACACATTCACCAACGAGCCCGCTCACTACTCCGGCCCTCAATCAATCCGCCGATACACCCCCAGCCGATGTGCTCAGAGGCGCCAGACCTCTCCTGGGATGCAATTTGCTTCCAGCTGTGCATGAATATCAGCACTTCCCATGCGACGCTTTACATTACGTTGCTGCTCGGGATGTTCTCAACAGCTTTGGAGATGCCATGTACAAGACGACGCAGGCCTGGCGGACCAAGAAACTCAAGAAGATGAGGCTTCTTGATTACGCTCCACTTGTATCCTTCACATTCGCCATGTGCGGTGTCATAGGCGCAACCCCGACGCCTTCTATTATTGTAAGGGGCCCAAACAGATTACTCCCCCGCGTAAAAAGAGTGTTAGATGAACCGCATATGAAGAACCAGTATGCTGTTGACGTCACATCTGGTCCGTCGTTCAAGCTCTACTATTGCGTCGGGGAAGATCCTGCATTCGAACTACAATGGGGCAGTAGCAGTGTTTCCCTGGGCGGCTCTGACCAGCCTCTCTCACTATGTGGGACCCGCATGTTAACTGGCCAACACACCCAAACACCACCTTCCAGTGAAGCAACGGTATCATGCCTCCTCGAGATTAACGGCGACTTTTATGCCCTTGGACCTGCGCACCTTTTCACCCAAAAGATCACTGCCAAGTTCCAAGAGCACTTGCTCGCCGAGTTGCGACAAATGGACGAAGATGAAGACGATGGTGACGATATCACTTTCGACGACGATGACGACGGCTATAGCGACGATAATCACTCCTCACCCAATGACCTCATGTCTGAGGAGCGATCGTTGAAAGGCAATGCAACACCATCACCACCGAAGGTCCTCGACGATCCCAGCAGCGACGAAGTAGGCCTAGAAGATCTTGTAGCAAGGTATCCTGGCCCGAAAGACCTGCAAGAGGACATCACGGACTGCGATTGGGCAGTCACACAAGTCAAGAAGCCTGACCAACAGCTCCCGAATCTGTACCTAGCTGAAGGAGAGCAAGCTCCTGAGTTCCGACACATCGTGGATGTTGCAGACGAAGACTTAGCAAAGTGGCATGTAATTTCCAAAATGGAGATTTCTGTCCGCATACTCACCTCTTCGTCGACGAAATATGGCACCATCCTCCCACAATTTGCCAATATATCCGGCCTAAGCGGGCGCGGACATTGCAACGTGTATGTTGTGTCTATGAACAGCGGTGATGGTAAACATCTAGCCAGCATAACATTGTTCATCCGCTGATTTCATCCGACAGATATCAAAGTGGGCGACTCTGGTGCTCTTGTCGTCTGCCCACAAACTTCCGTAGCGTACGGACATGTCGTGGCGACAAGTCCTCGAGGCGAAGCCTATGTTGTACCTCTTCATGCAACACTCCGCCAGTTGAAGGCGTTCTTCGATACCGATAACGTTCGTTTGCCAGAACCTTTAGATATGCTCGGCCGGATGGTACTTCACTACGTGACTACTGAGACATTCACTGAAGCCGAGAAGGTCATCTTAGCCATGATCTCCATGGTTAAAACACTTCGAGTATCTCATCCATTAGGGGGGCGGGACCGGCTAATACACTGGCTCAAGGATTCTACAGCACGAACTGCCCTGCTTGGGCTTGATTTTCAAAAGGATACAAACCATGCCCGCCGCGAGGAGTGGCTGAAGCTAGGTGAAGATTGGAAGATGTTCGTGGCTGAAGAAGATCAGATGCGCTCAAGCTTGTATGCTGCAGAGTATGGAACGAGGGGGCTGAGGAATTTGATGGGGCTGTCGAGGAAGTTGTGGCCGGGGATGGCGAGGGCGTCGCGGTCTTAGCTTCATTAATCTAGTGACAGAGAATATACGCATGCGGTGCATGATCCGGAGATAGCCATGGCGATCGATCAGTAGTTGGCGGAGGCAACAGAAAGCAATAGAAGTTACATGTTACTTGGAGTAAGAAATTGGATATCATACGCATGGTCACAAAATTGTGTATCCCTGAACCTGATCCGCTCGCTCATCCCTCAACCACACAAGCAACCTTTTATCAGACTTCGTCACGCTCTTGAAAGCCTCCGGTCCATTGCAATCCAGGGATGTCATCAGCCTACCAAACATCTTCATGAGATCCTCATTAAAACCCTTATAGGTTGCCCTAATAACGCAGTGTCCCAAACTATGTAATCAGTCCATATACCTCATGATTGTCTAAAGTCTTTACCTTACCTTAAAACTCTATAGTAAGGAATCTTAAACTAGCAAGCGCCTTGTTTATCGTCTCAGTTGCGGGTTCTGTGTGGTTTGTTTTGTGTCTACATACCGCCATCGGACGTCACTGTCTTCTCCATCCTCCATGCATCCAGTGCTTCACTTCACATCTCTTCCTTTCCCCATCAAGGCAAAAGGTCCATTCTCATGCACGTGTCCAGTCTCGCTCATTCTATTGTTCGCATTCGACGTCACTAATTGTACGTCACAAGACTGACAGTCACTACGCGCTCTCAATCCCACTCCCCGTCATCACTGTCGATCTACAGAAGTTTCCTTTGCCGTTTTACCGCTGTTATCACCTCGTAAGCCAATCAGAACGTCGTCGTCGTAATGCGCGCTTCTGGTCCGTGCTTCTTGTTGTTTTCGCGCTCCCAAAGCCGCCTTCACTTGCGCCTTCACCTCACCAGATCAGGCCATATCACACGCCTAGAACGCTCTCCAGGCAACAATATGCTCACAGACTACGTCAGTCACCTGGTATTCAGACGCGCTAGCGCCGACTGCCGGTGATCTGCCGGCTCACCCTCTGTCTATATAAACCCCCCCATCCCCCCGCCTCTCTCCCTCTTACTCCCCACTCGCTCACTTCTCCAACAACTCAACTTTACTATCAACAAACTTCAGTACCATGGCCGCATTACTCCAAGTAATTACTTCCTTTCCCTTCCTTCACTTCACTTCAGTCTTGGCTAACATTTTCAGACATCGGCTCTTTACTCATGGTGTATGACATCACCCATCAACAATCATCATGAGTAACAACAACATCAACCCTTTCTCACTCGACCGTCGACAGTCAACATGACTCCACTTCACTTCCAACTTTCAGCCTCGCCTTCAACGTCACCGCCTCGCATGCCTCACTCACACCCGCCTCGGTTCAACTTACCTACCTCACTTCGATTCGACCTTCAACTATCTTGACACCCATGTCACCTTCGGTCTACCCTACTACCACATCGGACTCGCATCGTCTTACTACATCGGCTCATTGCCTCTACTCATCGACATGCACCACCACCGACGGCACCGCGGCACAGGCACCAACCTCTCTGGCACCGGCTCGATTCTCCTTTGACTGTCGACAGTCTCACGCCACTCCCGATCGTATGCGCGTCGCGAAAGTCAAGTTGTGGCACAGGGATGCAGGCCAGGCTGCATGGTTGGCCCTTGAGTTGGTAGCGGTTTGGATCAGAAGGACTGGCAAGAGCGGAGGATCAGTGGTGTTGGGTTCAGTCACTGTCACTGTTGGACACTTTCACATTGGATGTTGATGCCATCTCGAGAGTGCCTCGAGACAACAAGGTTGGAGGATAGACGGTCAATGGCGCTTGCGCTACACTGGGCCTCTTGTTGTTCTCTTGGGTGTCTTCGGACCCCAGGATGGTTGATCATCTTATCCGAACCAGATGGCGGCTTCTTCGGAAGTTCAGGTCAATTCTGGTGATGATAGTGGAGTGTCGGCATGTTCGACGAGCACTGTTCTTGACATCGCTGCTGGTGAGCCTTGGTTTAGTGGATGGTTGGAGTTGATGGAGTCGATGGTGGTGGTTGGATGGCGCAAGGACTTGGTGTTGGTTGGATATCTTCTTGGTCGGCTGGATGGAATATGGACTTCTTGTATGGGTTTCAACTTCAGGGTTTCAACTGTGGTGGTGGTTTAGTTTAGCTGGCATCTTTGGGTCCTCAATCAACCAATTTTGTCATTACATCTTGTTCCCTTCTTAAGTTCGTGAGTTCTTACTTGTTTGACTTCTTACCTTTACATCTTCTGCCTTATGCATTCCACATTGCCTTTGCCTACAACACATTCCAAATGTTTTGTTAATACTCACCTTCTGAGGCCTTGGCATTCCTCGCTATCAAACTCTAAAGTAGATATTCTTGTATGCATCTTAGGCAAAGGCGTGCGCGACTCTATGTATTGATCTCTTATGTCTCTCTTAACCCTACTTAAGTTGTATTCTTCTGCAGAGGAAGAGAGTATGAGCGCTACACAGCAGGTAAACAGTGCGCACATGTGCAAAGCAGGAAATATGTACTAAGCAACTAATGCGCGCATTGCGCCTTCTGCCATGACTTCTCCCTTCCACCTCGCTAGTCTAGACTCACACTCTCTCTCCTTCTTCTTCTTCTTGCCTGTCGCCCTCTCACACAAGCCATATAATCCGTATCCCGCGCTACCAACCCACCCATCCCTAACGCCCTCCACTCCTCCTCCAACGCCTTCTCCGCATACGCCATTCTACCCTCTTCCGAGCGCATACTACCCGGTATCTTCTTCTTTTCCTTCTCCTTCCCTAGCACATCGCCCCCGCCGCCCGCCGCTTCCGAACACACGTACCATCCCAAAGTAGGCTCATACTGTATACCCAAATGTCTAACAATGCGGTCGTGTTTCGCGCGGCGGTTGCGCATGTAGCTTTCGTCGCGCGCTGCATCGCCGAGCTGGGATCGTACGTGTGAGGTGCGGGCGCGAACATCGGGGGCGGAGAGCATGATGCATGCGGCGCCCATGATGGGGTATGGTGCTGTTACCAAAGGAGGGAGATCAAGGTGTAATGGCGACGGGGTGAATAAGTCAAGTTTAGAGAGCTGTGTGGATGTCATGGCTTGCGTCATTGTCTGTCCGGTATATTAGCACTATCGCACATATATGTAGAAGCGTCTGAGGTCCCCAGGGCGTACGTACCATCTTCTCATACTCCTTCTTATCGCACCCCAGGCAACATGCTATGGTCTTGTACAGACACGCTTTCCGCTGTGTCTTCTTCTTGCAGAAGTAACACATATCGCCTAGCCATTTTCGGCGGCACGTGTATATGCGCGTATTCTTCGGTAGGACGATGTCGGCGTGGCGTTTGAGGAGGTTGCGCGCGTATTCTTCGACGATGGCGTTGAGGTGTTTGTTTGTTGCGGCGAGGGTGTTGAGCGGGTAGGTCGGGAGGGTGGGGTTGAGGTTGGGTTCTGTGTAGGAGAGGATGGTGAAGAGGATCTCTGGTGGGAGAGTGTCGAGGTTCGCCATGCTGAGGTGGGGATGCGCGATGACTTGGGGAGTTCCTGGTGTTGCGATGGGCGGTGGGATCGCGAGATGAGGTTTGGTCACCTCGGTTCGCAATTATTCGTGAGACACTTGGCACGTGTGTGCTGTTGAGGTACACCCATGGATAGATCCTAGTGACTATAAGAGTCTCACAAGTGGTTGCGACGCGGTATGGTTTGTGTTGCGATCAGCGTGGAGATACCAAGCGCCAAGCATCTCTTACCTCCGTGGGGATTGATGCGCTCGTCGCCGAGCGTGAGCCTCACAAGAACAGCCCACCTCCGGAGAGGATACATGTTTTACTTGTTGGCCAAATAGGACATAGCACTAGACGCGATGCGCAACGTAAAGTGAAAGCATGTCGTTGGAAGCCCTCAGCGAGCGCCGCGACCGTCTCTACTACTTTCCCTCTTCCGTAAGATCGTCTGCAACACACTCTTTCCAGCTATTCATGCTAACAAATTCTAGTTTTCGGACGCATCGGCTCGAAATGACGAACGCACCGAGACGTTTCCACGATTTCCAATAAGCTGACTCGACCTTTGGCGCATTGGCTAATGGCCCTGGAGGAGAGCCCATAAGGTGCAAAGCCACCCAAAAGCTCAGACACAATACGGGACGCTCACTTGCATACGTCAAGGGTATACCAGTGCTGGATGCCTCCAATACAATACCCTGGTGGTTGGGCTTCAGTATTCCACAGATCGAGCCCCACCGCAACGAATCGCAGATGTGGCTCTGGGGTTAGAGATCACGGATGGCCTCGGCCGCGAATCATATCTTCACCCTCGAACAAGCTCACGGCAACTATGATTAGGCGATTTAATACGGGCCGGTCTGGAGAAGGCCGCGGCGTCTTCCTCCGTGGCAAGGGCAGGATTGCCGCTTTTGCTCTCCACGTTCCCACATAGTAACTTGTGTCCAGCTGATATAGCGCAACGACCCTATA